GTCACGTTTATAGTTGCTCGCTATTGAAACGTTTTTTTTTGTTTTGTTTTACAATCCTGTTAAACCTTATGACCTGTGTAAATAGACCTATATAGTGCTTGTCTGTCTATGTATATGAAGTAAAAGCGGTAGGAAATGGAACTAACAGAAGTTGAGGTCAGCGCCATCTATACAAAACTAAGGGAAGTAGTACACACGGCGCAGACGAAAGATTAAGTACAGACAGAGACGGGCTCAATTGCAAGTTGCTATAACACGAAGATAGATGGCTCAGTTTGCGAACACCACATAAAGCAATTAAAATAATAAAAAGTGTGGACAAGTATCCTTAACAATGATTATGAATAAAATAAGTGAAATGTACAATAGAACTATTTATTATATAATTATGACGCATAATGTTGAGTTGGTGTTTATTTATTTTTATTTTATTTTTGTTTTTAGCAATGGGCGTCCCCCTGCAGGGTATAGGCCTCCCTACCCTCCTTCCACTCGTCTCTTTTTATAGCTTTCTGTGGCCAATCCTTTTCATAAGCGTCAAGTTCATCCCGCCATCTCCTTCTGTGCATACCGCAACGTCTATTGACATTGAGTGAGCTCCACATAGTTTCTTAAACTGTCAAACACCAAGCAGTCACCGGTGACCGCAACCTATTGTTCTATAATTGTGTCTACAATGACGGTACTCGACGAGTTAATTGATAAATACTAAAAAATGACTTAACAGATACTTACCATGTCAGCGACTGCCAAAATACGTTCATGTCATTTATAAAACAATTGAAAAAAGCGACTTCTATATTTACTACGCGAAAAATACACTTTTTGAGTAACTACTTAATTTCAAAAACGAAAATTTGATTAGTAACTAACTTTTTACTTACGCCGTAGAAACAAACCACGTAAAATAAAAACTAAGAAAAACATTTAACGCACCAATAATATATAAATCTAGGTATATAGGCATCTAATTATAACCTAGGTACCTACTGACAGACAGAACCTATGACATAGCTTACACAACAGGGATTGAAAGTGTCCGTAAAGTACCCATAATATTATAATATATGAAAAGTGAAATCTCATTACAATTCAGATCACGAACCGAGTGTATTCTTGAGTGATATTACGAATAATATAATCTATGATAGTGTAGCTAAGTTACAGGACTCGAAGAAAATATAGATATAATAACGATTGTGTGAATTATGAAAGGGAAAAGAGTATTTTTTAAGGGAGAAAATCATCAAATTACTACTCCCTAAAGTGGAAAAGTGGAAGACAGTTGCCAAAGATAGGGATATATGGAAAAGTCTGGAGGAGGCCTTCACCCTCACATTAGAGGGGTTCTTGCATGCCTGCATGATGTATTATTATAATTTATTCACCTTATAGATTGAATATTCTTGGATGGAATTTTATTTCATATAAGTGTACATAAAATTGAATTCATTATAAGTATTTTAAATTTTAAATGTGTAATTAAATTGATATAAAAGTAATTTTAAATCAGTAATTGAATTCATTTAATGATGATTCGCATAACTTTTATAATTATTAATAAGAAATATAAATAATTTTACATAAGGAACCATTATTGAATCATTTTTAATTTTTCATGTTTCTTTTGTAGGTAATTTTGCAAGATATAAAAGGCTTTTTATTTATTTTATTTTATTATTTATTACTGCTCCCGCCTGGGTGAGACGGAAGGGAGTGTCAGACTCTTACTGACTAAAAACCACCCCGTTCCTTCTCCTGCGCTTCGAGCCGGAGCCCCAGTAATCCGTTAGGTTCTCCGCGGCGAGAAAAGAATATAGGATGGAATTTAAAACAAAAAGTTTAGGATGGCATGTGTTCTGATAGGGGAGAATGGAAAAAGAAGCCACTAAGCAGCTAAAGATTAGTATAAAATATATCTTTTATAAACTTCATTAAAAACAACCGACTTAAACCCCACTTTGATTTAAAGTCGGTTAATTAATATACTATAACTATAACCTTCTCCTGAGTAAGAACAAATACTTTTCTGGAAGCCACATCAAAATCGGTAAAGCCAGTCGCGAGATAAAAGCACACGAACACACACATACAGGTCAAATTGAGAGTCTCCTTTTTTCTTCTAGAAGTCGGTTAAAAAGAAACACTTGAATGAGAATGAGAGCAAAAAGGTCTCAGGTCAGGTAAGTAGGTTTTCATAAATCAGTAATAATAACACAAAATCCAGAATGTTGCCCAGTGTATGGCAATAATAATTTATAAGTTTGGGAGAACCATGCTTCGGCACGAATGGGCCGGCTCCAACGAAGTGATACCACGGCCGAGCAGAAGACCGACGTGAAGCAACGCTTGCGTTGTGTTTCGTCGTGTGAGTGAGGTTACCGGAGGCCCAATTACCCTCCCCTTCTCCAATCTCCCCAATCCCTGAATCCCCATCGATCCTCAAACTCCAAATCCCCAAAAGGCCGGTAGCGCACTAGTAACGCCTCTGGTGTTCCAGGTGTCCATGGGCGACGCCTGGTTTGCGATTGCTTACCATCAGGTGATCCGTCTGCTAGTTTACCGGCTTATGTCATAAAAAAAATGCTGGCCCCACATGAAACTAACAACATAACAACTGAAAAGTAACTGTTTTTATGTATAATAACTATCGTGAGACATACTAAATTAACTAAAATCTGTTACTCACGTGAATATACTGAGTAGCTCATGAGGAAGAACCTCTCTGTCGTTCGAAACTGTATATTGTATACTGAGAGAAGCTCTACTGCTTTTCTCAGTATATTCACGTGAGTAACTCGCGATTGTAGTTAAAATGTAACTGTTATATATATTTTGTATATGCATCCCTGCATACTCCTTAGAGTAATGAAAGATGTCTACCTATTACGAAGTCACATCAGATGAAAATAAATTTTGAACTATTGGTTCACACACATAACATAAAAAACATAACATAACATAACATCACGCCTTTTATCCCCGAAAGGGTAGGCAGAGGTGCACATTATACGACTGTAGGTACAATGTAACACCCACTTTTCACTATTTATGTTATGAGTCCCTTGTAATAGGGGGTGAGCCTATTGCCATATATACCGGGCACAATTCCAGACTCCGTGCTACTACTGAGAATATTTAAAAGCCAGGAATACTTTACCCGCATCGGGAATCGAACCCGAGACCCCTTGCCCGGCAGTCGCACTTACGACCACTCGGCCAACGAGGTATTGAATCAATAAATGAAGTACTTCACAAATGACGCTAATAAACGGACGATGCAACAAACAATGTCAATCAAAATCAGTTATTTACAGTGTACCCAAATAGACACTCATCTCTAAAAAGGCACAAAACTGTTTGTGTAAGACAAATCAGTTTGTATTGATAGTCGAATGACGTTAAATATAAACTACGAGACATTCCAGTGGACTTTTCAATGTGTAACAAACAATTGTAGCAGAACAATTAATTGTATAGACTCCGGTCGTTGGTCGACCTATTAACCTAGCCAGGGGCGCGCAACTTTGTTTATCAATGTTCATTATGTGTCACAGAGATATATCTATTTATTTATAACTAGCGACCTGCCCCGGCTTCGCACGGGTGCAATATGCATGTATTATGCATATAAACCTTCCTTAAGAATCACTGAATCTATGGAAAAACGCATCAAAATCCGTAGCGTATTTTTAAAGATCTAAGCATACATAGGGACAGACCGACGGCGGATAGCGACTTTATTTTATACTATGTAGTGATTTGGACAACCAGTAGTTGTTACATTATTCTTGATTTAATTTTTTTATACCTACCACAACGGTGGCAAGAAAATCACACAGCCCCCCTGATGGTAAGTGGTTACCGTGGCCTATGAACGCTTCCAACACATGGGGCAATACATGCGCCTTGCTGACCCTTTATAGGCCTGTTTACTCCTTTCTTGAAGAACCCCATATTGTAGCCCAACAAGAAAACCTTGGCAAGCAGTTCATTTCACATCTAAGCACTTATATAATAATACATTTTAAACGCATAATTTTAATGTATCACAACATGCACAGTAACCAAACGATAACATTTTATCGTTTGGTTACTTTATCAGAAAGTAGAGACATTAATAGAAATAAGAATAGCAAACAGAATCATAAAATGACTTCCGCCCGAATATTGAAACGTTACTAATTTTTAAGTCACGCTTAAGTATAGTTCTGTCTCTACTAATTCTTTGTAAAATGACAGAGATGGCACGATATTTAAGCACGACTTAAAATTGAGTAACATTTCAGTATTCCGGCATTACACAACAAAATTATGACAATTCAAAACAAATAAATCTGTACGAATGTAAAAAAAAAACTTTTGATTGATACATCACCATCAACTTGTACATACTCTATAAATACCTGTTCTTATGGAGAAGGTATGCATCAGTCACAAAGTCACCACTCTTACCAAAGACGTATTGGCGATTAAAAACTTAGGATTTGTAATTACCTCTATAAGTCCAGGGTTCCTCCTAGCCGCGAAAAGGTTGCCGGGGCTCCGGATCGAAGTGCAGGAGTAGGAACGGGGTGGATTTTATTCAGTAAGAGTCTGACACTCCTTCCCTCCTCACCCAGGCGGGAGAAGTCATTCAATGATTTCCCCCCTTAAAAAAAGGGTTCCTCCTATCTTGCACATCGCAAGTCAATGGTCAAAATAAGACAGTCACAGATGTGTATAGAATAAGACCGGATACTTTATGATTTATTCGAATCAATATCTAAAATCTTTATTACCTTGATATGTTTAGTAAAATAGTAATAATAGCCAATAAAAACACATTGAGCCACTACAAACCTGCATTGATATCAGAGAAAGAATCGCGCATTCTTTTAGTTTTTTACCATTGAATTGAAAGCGAAAAAATGTTGAGCGCTTCTCTCTTTTTCGCGATGCGCGCCGACCTTTCGCGCATGCGTACAACATCTAGTCTGCTGCGCGCGCGCACTCTTACGGACGTACTGCGACAAAATACAAAATGGCGTCACTCGCGATAAATGAATAACCGTTGTTTATCAATAAAAATAGTTTTTATTACTCAGCTGTAGATTAAGAAGTATAAATAAAACAGTGCTCCCAAAAATATAATTGTTGCTATGTGATTCGACAATAATTATCGGGTTAATTTTAATGAAATAAATTAAAATCGCGTAATAAACTGTCAAAAATGTTATAATAAAAAAAACAATTAATTATACCTTACCTATTCACATTTTAATTGGGAAAAAAATCAATAGCTACAACTTTTTAACACAAAATCCCTTTTTGAAAAATTAAATCAAGTAAATGAAGAATGTGATAGAAAAAGTAAAAAGTAACTAGGAATTAAAGTGTTTGTGAATCAGATTGATTGTGGACTATGACAATGTGGTGGTTATTGTTATTCATACTACCACTGGGGCTGGTGAGCTCCAGTAATAATGCGACTGAGCAACCCCTTAATATAATAGGGTAAGTCTTATCATATCGTACTTCGAGAAGAGTAACGATGGAGTTTCTTGCTCGTTCTTCTCCATTCGAATCTACATTTTGGAATGAGCACCTAGCTTCAAAGTTAAAGCTTGACGTTTCAAAAGTGTCCAATCAAGGATTAATTGATAATAAATATATAATAATTAACTTTGACTTTTCTTATAATGTATACTAATGTTATGATAATGGATGAAAGTATGTGGAAAGACTACTGATCTGAATCTCAACGTTTGCCATGAAGAAAGATTGTCAAAATATTGTATGCTACTTACTGTTCATCCCGGTAACGTAGACGAACCAGCTGGCAGAAGCTAGTCTTAATATAAATGCTTACTCGTAAGTAGGTAAGGATTAATATAATTATGTATGTCTGTTACTATTTTATACAAAACTGCTTGTCGAATCTGAATGAATTTGACGTGGAGATAGATTAACCATAGATCCCCAAGCGATCACCGGTGACCGCTCTCCACTACCTACATTATAGACCTTATTTCCAATGCATAGAGACTACTTTTGTATGAACAAATTTAGGGGATGAATTTCAAAGGGTTAAAGTCGAAAACAAGTCATAAGCTAGATTATAGTCTCTTGTCTAACCGTCTTGTAAAACATTGAACCAATAGTCTTATTGCTGTATGATCATCGAAATGTCTCCTCTAAAACTCGATCTTCAGATTTTAAATGAAGTCTTACACCATAAGAATGAAAATGCATTATAATAATTATTTAACTCGTTGAGTACCGTCGTTGTAGAAACAATTATAGAACAATAGGTTGCGGTCACCGGTGACCGCTTGGTGTTTGACAGTTTAATAAACTACGTTTGAAAAGACCAACTTCAACCCCCTCTTTTTCGACGACGTTAAATTAATATACTAAAACCATCTCTTAAGTGTAAGAAACACTTTTCTGAAAACCGCATCAAAATTGGTTCAGCCAATCGCGAGATAATCGCACACAAACATACATACATACATACAAACATACAGGTCATATTAAAAACCTCCTATTTTTATTTTTTTAATTGTTTAAAAAGACTTCGAGTATATTGAGAAAGTGTGATTACAAAAAAAAAACATTCGAATTATAAAAGACTACATACTAAACTTTTCGTTACCAATTTTGACAGACAACTGTACTAAAGGATAAGGATTCGTAGTATCAACTCAGCTTGGAGTTGTCATGCTCACTCAAAAGTCTCATTGGCAGTGGCATTCCCTACAACATGGTTGAGTTGGGCGGTGCTGGTGTACGTGTCATGTTCGTGAACGGGCGTTGTCAAATAGGACTGGTCAGCTCCAGACTATATTAAATTTGTTGTCCTCAAGGTTATTTTCTTTTTCCGTCTCCTTGACCAAATATTGGTATTACATTGTTCTCACATAATTGAACTCAACAAAAGAATGTAACCAAAAATTGCATTGTGAACATGATTGGAAAGTAACCTATGCAGTTTCGTGCTCGTTCTTCTCCATAGGAATCTACACTTTGGAATGAGCAAATAGCTTCAATAGAGGACTGACCTACAGACTGACATTTTTCTTATTATTTAATATTTAAATATTTTGTTTTGACGTTCAAAAGTGCCTTCCTGGTCTAATTGAAATAAATGATTTTGACTTTGACTTTGAAGCTGCCGATATCAAATCCGGAACCTCTCGCTTCCGACCACTCGAGCAACTAACTATATCTCAGAACAGTACAGTTTATATCAAAGGGATAATACAATACATCTTAGCCTGACTGTTTACTAATACTGCGACATGACTCATCACACTCGTAGGTACAGACTCCACATAAGAGCCGTATGCGTAATACACGTATATGGAGCATCTATAAAACTGGTTATTGTATTTTACGTTAATCTAAATAGTTATCCGCACGTACCAATACTTAAATGGAGGTTAGAATACTCTTTGTAGGGTTCTTATGCTCTTTTAAAAGGGTCGAAGTCAAGGTTCCACACGTGGAAGAATTCGGTATGAATGTCTTAACCGGACTACGGAGTGAAAGAACGCTATCAGTGTGCAAATCATCCATTATTGGAGAACTCCCCCAAGGATTTTAAAATGGGCCAATTGGAATTGCATTGTAGTGATGTCTAAGTGTGGGAGAGCTAATGCTTCGGAACAAATGGGCCGACTCGACTGAAGTGATATCACGGCCTCAAAGAAAACCGTCGTGAAACAACGCTTGAGTTGTATTTCGTTGTGTGTAGTCGGTACCGGAGGCCCCATTACCCTCTCCCCCCTCCTTCCCCAATTTCTCCAATCCCTGAATGCCAAACAATCCTCAAATGCCTAATCACCAAAAAACCGGTAACACACTTGTAACGCATCTGGTGTACCAGGTGTCCATGGGCGATGCCGATTGCTTACCATCAGGTGATCCGTCTGCTTGTTTACCGGCTTATGCCATAAGAAGAGCCGCGGAAGACTTAACGGGTTACCGGGGCTCCGGCTCGAAGTGCAAGAGTAGAAACGGGATGGTTTTTAGTCAATAAGAGACTGACACTTCCTATTCGCCTCACCCAGGCGGAAGAAGCAATTCGATGAATAAAAATAAAAAAATCCCATTACAAAAATAAGATTCAGGCCGCTTTACTACTTTGCCAAACCTCTTCCGTGCCCACCTCTTTGTCAAAAAACGACCATCAACTTCTTCTTCAGGCTTCTACGATGGTAGATATACCGTGTTGAAGGCAGGAATTGGGACGGGGTAGTTCTAGTCACTAAATGTCTATAGTCTGCACAGGGCCGAAGAAGTCATTCAGTGATTTTTCGAGGTCAGAAGAAAGGCTTCGATTAACCTCCAATTAAGAAAAAGCAGTTATGTATGTATACCAATCCACTAACAAACTACTTATCAAAATTTCCAATACTCCAAACACAGACGGCTGCATTCATCTTAAACGCTGTGAGCATTAAACATTGGCTGCGCGTGCGCCGGTAGCTTGTTTTAATAACAAACAGATGTGGTTCTTAGAACAAGTTAACGAGCAATTCATACCGCGGTCATTATTTGAAACTTGATGCTTTAGATGTTGCAGGATGTAGGAGGGAAGGGAAAGGAAATGCAAGTATCAAAGTAGTATGTTAAGGTTCAAATTGCAAAAGTTAAGTTTAGTAAGCAAGAGTAACCTATGGAGTTTCTTGTTCAATTTGGAATGAGCAAATAGCTTCACTTTTATTATTTTTTTTTGTTGACGTCCAAAAGTGCCTTTCTGGTCTAATTATAAAATTAAAATAAATAATTTTGACTTTGACTTAGTAATGAACATTTAGAAATGGTGTCTCAACTATATTTTAATTTTATGACTGAATGGTTGGTGCAGAGTCTATGCGATCAGTTATTGACCAACGTGTCCCAAATTTTATTTGCATGCTCGTTGCTTGATATCCAAATTCATAATCTTCTTAGATATAGTTATGTGTCATGTATATTAATATGTGGCTTTTAATTTTGGAAAAGCACTTCGACTTAGAAATAAAATCTAGTCTGTGACCATAACCTCGTTTTTGAAATGTTTTGGTTTAGAGTAAAAAAAACTCAGTTCCAAAAACACCACTTTGTTCTTTATGTTTGTACTATGTACTAATAATGATTTTCGTAATGGCATTGCTCTGTAATGTACCAGTGCAAAGACAATTTTGTGAGAGCAAATATCATGTCTGTATAAACGTGATTTTGGCAGAGCTCAAGAGTTGAGCTGTATCTGCATAAAATGGTTTTTATCATAAATGAACACCATTATCATCAGCTTCATCATGAGTTTGCACTGCTAGACATAGCCCTCCTTAAAAAGCAACAGAAACATTGTTTCTATCCATGAGATCTTGGTTGTCTATGAGATCTTAGTATTACTCCGGTTGAGCCGGCTCAATCGAGCATAGCTCTTCCATGTGGGAAACACTCAATTTTATATTACTTCCAGTTTTCTCTCTTCTGATTTATTTCGTTGGACGTGCCAAATTTTAATGTTCCGGTATTTTCATGGTGATATCTTCTATTGTAGATCTTGACTTACAAGAATTGCAGCGGTTTTGAGAGGATGTGGCCGGCTTGTCCCAAAAAAATACCTAAATAGAAGTCGAGATTTAGAAAAATATTGCTGTTACTCTTTTTCAACATTTACGCTTTTGTGTCTATACGAGTACCATCTACTGAACCTATCTATTGCCTTACAAAACCCATCTGACAAACAATAGAAATAGAAAATCGTTAACAATTAAAGGTAATCATTAAACCATCATCATAGTACATATTTGTAACGACGCTGAAGGTCAGTGGGACCTTGATTTTTATGCTCATCATTACGAGGAAACACGTATTCAATTGATTTCATCATTTTTTTGTTCCATGGTATTCATAATTGTTGCCAGGGCCGGACTGTTAACGAATGGGGCCTTTTGTGTTATAAGTCCATTGAAATAATAATAAGTACGACAATACAGCAAATTTTAATTTTTTATATCCATCGAAAAAAGGATAGCTTTTGTAAGTGTGCCACAGCTTATTATAGACTTCGTGCTACTAGCAATCATACAGTTAAACCTTCTCACATCAACAATCTCATGATCATAAAGATTGTCTCAGTGATCGATCGACTTCCGCTAAGAACAGTCGCGTCGCACACATTCTCGTGCTAGATTATGTTCAAGTGTAGCGCTGACGCAGCAGCCTACCGTTCATTACCTCTAGCCGTGCGCGGTCGCCGCGATGACCCAGTTACCGAAAGTGTTGCACAATTATTTGTATAAACAAAGTGTTAAGGCGAAGTTATTCTAATAATCATGGCTTCGTCATCCTCAATTAAAATCAAAACTGAAACGGAACATCTGTTGTATAAATATTATACCGAAGAAAAGTTAGAACGCGAAAAGTTGCAAAGTTTAGTAAATGACCTCAAAAGCCAATTAGAACAACTACAGCATCAGCTTAAAACCATCCAGGAGCAAAAAACTTCAGACAAGAAA